GTTACACTGCAATAGAGAAATAAAATACTGTTCAATCATGTAGCAAGTTGATGATTTCCATAATGTGATACATATTTACTTTTATTCATATCAAACATTTATTGAATACCTACCAGATGCTAAGCCCTTCTTAAAATACCGCTGATATGGAGATGATACTGTTTACCCCTGAGGAACTCACAGTCCAGGAAGCGTCAGACATTCACGCAGCTGGTCATAACGCAATGGGACAAACATTATAACAAGGATATGAACTAAATGGTATAAGCCATGTTGCTTGTTTACACTTTTCTTGGCACAACATTGTAAGCCTGCACCTGGAAAAAATGTGAGGGTCTCATATGGAATACAGACACTATAAAATCACTGTTGAAAGGTGTTTACTAAGGAACCATCTGTACACACCTGACCAAGAAGAAGTAATCCAATGGAAATAAATGCTCTCACAGAGAACAAAAGCTTCAAAGAAATGGCTTCACATAATTGTGATCATGACTCCTTTGTCCTTCTACAGAACTGTTGAAAATCAACACTGATTATCTCCCTCCTACAAGTTCTTTCTCTTTATAGGATAATGTTTTGAGATATAGTGCTTCAGAGTAATAAAGCTAAGACATTACTTTTACTGCATTGCCATTTAGGCATACTTGTGGGTATATCATAGAAGTTTGGACAGTACAACAAAAATACCTGTCTTTCTGACGTCCAAAGTAAAGGCCAGAATTTGCCAATTTTTGCATGCAAACCATGAATCCCAATCATTATTGCTGTATCTAGAACAATTTGCTCTTTCTTCAGACTGCAGATGTACTTTTCTGATAAAGACTTTTCTGACTGAGACTCCAAGATATAAAATAATATAAAACAATACATACTTTTTAATTGAATGGTTACCAGATGCTTAAATACCTTATTTAATAGTGGATTATCTCAATTAATGTTCACACCAACCTGATGAAGTAAAGGTTATTATTATCCCCATCCATCTCACAGATGAAATTGAAGCCACAGAGTTTAGATAACTTGCTTGAGATTATACCTTTAATTAGTAATAGGACTTGGGATTTGAAGTTTTTCTAGTCCTGGTTCTATGCACTTAACCTCTATCCTGTTTTCTAATGTCTCTGACAGTTCCAAGATCTTTACAGGTAACTTTGAGCATGATGTGCTGGTGATACAAAATAGCGTAATGCAAATATGGGCCTTGCAGTTAGTCAAAGCATTTGATATTCTTCATATATCCATAAATATTGACATTGAGTCTTCTAAGAGTAAGTGAATTTATCTGTTTTAAAAAATTGATCTAGACTTTCTTTGGTGAGATTCTTCACATATCAACTTAGAATATAATACCTTATACATTATATCAGGAGGGTAAAGGGTATATGGCTCAAAAAAGAGATAAGAAACCTCAGTGGTTTAAATAAAGTAGAAATTTATTTCTCTATACTTTAAAGGTGTAGTGGGGCAGTTCAGTTTTGGGAGACAGCTTTCCACGAAGCAATTCAGGGGCCTGGTTTCCTTCCATCTTGTTGCTCTGCCAGCTACTATGCTCTGCCATGTCTGTGTTCCAGGTGGCAGGAATAAAAAAGAGGCAGTAAAGAGCAAGCAATTTCCTTTTAAGCAAGTAATGTGGAAAAGGTACACATTGCAACTTCTTACACTTCATAGATGAAAACAAAGTCACATGGCCATACCCAGTCACAGGCAGAATGGGAAATGTAGTCTCCAGACAGAGGGCTCTGTACCCAGTTAAAAGTCAATTCCAATGAAAAAAAAAGAGAGAGAGAGAGAGAGAGAAAAATAAATTTGGAGGGGAAGAGGAGCCAGCTGTCTATTACACACAGGTAGGCAGATACTACATATAAATCAATTACTGGCTTTAGCATTTTTTTTTTTTTTTTTTTTTGAGAGGAGTAGGCTATCTGTAGAATAATGTCATTTTTGTTTTTTCATGACTGGGATGAGAGTTAAAATGACTTTAAAGCTTAATATCACTAATCAGCTGGTTGAGCACTTACTGATACCTACTCTTTAATTACATGGTTAGTAAATGGCTAATTATTCTATATTAGGTAAGAGCATTTTGAAATTATGTAACTAACAGAAGGAATGTAGTGAACATGTGTTGTTTTGTCTGCCAAAATTTGTCCCCATCTGAAAAATAGCCATGCATTTTCTTTAGAAAATTATCCCCCTCCTTGTGGTTGTCAGCTGGGGAGGAGTGAACCTTATAAATGCTTTCTGAGCAAAACTACCTTAAGTAGTTTTACTCTGCATTCAACTGCTCAGGCTCTTTTTTTTTAAAAATGATTTTATTTATTTATTTGAGATAGAGCGATATAGAGGAAGCATGAGCAGAGGGAAAGGTAGGAGAAGTATGGGAGAGGGAAAGGGGAGTGAGGGGGAGAAACAGACTTCCCGCTGAGCAAGGAGCCCAACCTGGGGCTCTACCCCAAGACCCCGGAATCAGGACCTGAGGAGTCGAAGGCAGATGTTTAACCATCTGAGCCATCCAGTCACCCCTACGACTACTCAGACTCTTTATTACCACGGTGTAGATTAGGTCCCATGACCCCAGCCCTGGGGTCCCAGTAACATGATCTCTTTTTTGTGTCTCTTCAGCTGCGGATAATACAGTTCCCTTCAGCTGTTGCTAATCTCAGGGCAACCTCCCCATTTCTTGTTTGGTCCTCACCTGCATAACTCATTCCCTGTATTAGATTCCCTCTGTTACAAATAAGTAAAATGGTTTCTAGGCTCCTGGTCAGACATTGACTGATGAAATGGCCTACTTCATGGGGCTGTTCCAGTTCTAGCCACACTCCTCTAGCCATGTTGCTTTAATCTCAATTCTCAATTCTCCCAGAAAGAAGAAACCTTTGTTTCAGGTTCTTGATTAAGGATGGAGTTGGGGAAAGGGAGTGGTGATTGAGCCTTGTGGGAGATATTATTATGCACTAGAACAAACAGTTCCCAAACTGTCTGTTACAGAAACACAGGATGGGGAGGGGAGGGGCCAAATGGCCCGTTATCTCATAAAACTTTTAGTAACTTTCATTATTAGCCTCACAATCTTTATTATAATCTTAATTATCTTTACAATCAAAATAACTCAAAGTATCTTATTTTCTTAGGAGTGAAAGGCTTTAGCTTATTGTTATCCCCAGCTGAGGTTAGCTGCACTTAATGCATGGCTCTAGGAGACAAAAAGTTTTTCAAAACCTCAAACACAAAATAATTAAAGAATTTAGATTTTTTGAAATGAATCATAATTGTACCCTGTAGCTCTACTCTGAGGATGGGCCAGAGGAAGTCCCAGAATGGGAGTAGGTTTCAATTTTTGTCCTCACAGATGCAGACACCATGATGGGATTGGATGCACATAAGTGTTACCGAGAAAGTATTAGTGAAGGATGAAGGGAAGGAAGTGGAAGCTGGACTAGGGAGAGACCAGACAACAATGCAGTTCTGATAACTGTAAAAGCTAAGGGGAAAGGAAGTAAGATTGTCCAAGAAGATCTTAAGACTTCGAGGAGTTATAAGAAAGTGTTGACCAGGCCAGTGGGGAATCTTTAAGCCAAAGCAGCCCATTAGAGGAATCCTGCATCCCTCAACAATGGGCCTGCACTAATAACCCTGCTGTGCTCAGTCACTGACTAGGAAGAGCCCAGGGGAAATATAATCTCAGCATAAACACACTTGTGGGTCTGGCAAGAATACAGCTGAGGCTAAAAGTCAGCTGTGCTCCTTAGAGCAGGAAATCTGAGCAGATATTTCTTGGATGCTCTACCAGGTACTCACTAAGGGAGGAGATGATTCCTAATGCCAGCTCCACACACAGCCCATGTTTACCATATCTTCTCACCACCACATTGCAGAATGTACATCTTGTTATTATGTTATTCTAGGTCCCTACGGTAATTTCAGGATCTGAATGTGGCCTATTTACCTAGATGTGTTGAGTGGAGTTGAGGGAAAGGGGTATGTGGATGTTGCCCTGGCCGAAAGGGTCCAGGCTGAGTGTCCCCAGAGGCAGAGGCCTAGGAGAGGGCTTCTACCTTTCCTAGAGAACATCTGCATTTGTCTGTGTGTGTGTGCACTTCACACTATGTCATGCCCTGAGACAGAGAATGCACATAGATGCCAAGGAAGAGAACCAAGTTGTAGCAAAATTAAGTGTCTTATTTTTCTAAGAATGCTGATGTTAATTCAAATTTAATGTTTCTACCTTAAAATATGAATTGTATTACAAGTAGCATAACTCAAAATGAATTTTCATATAATGTTTATGTTTTATGGAGTTATTATTATCAGCTTTATTATTTTAGTTTCTTTTTCCAAGATTAGATTATAGGCCAGTCTCAGCCCTGTCAGGGTACTCTGTAGCATTTAGGGACTAACAGACCCCTCAGGTTTTCTTTTGTAGATTAAGGATGTGAGAAGTTAGAGAGAAGCTGAATCCCTAGAGCTACCGTTGTGGCCTAAAGGATGGGGCTATTCTGTGGTTCTCCAAAAGGCCAGCTGGGCCTCCTAGCCTGAAACCACCCAAAATAGGTGATGGAAGATGACTGGGCTGGTTTTCCACATCTCTTCAGTCCCTGCCCCACAATAAACCTCTAAGATAATCTGGGTACATGTATGACACTTCCTTGCAACATGGAAAAACCTGACTAATTCTCAGTACTCAGTAATTCAGGAGAGTGATGAAGAGGATCTGAGGTGAGATGTGCATGGAGCTGGAGAAAAAAGCCCATTACTTGGTGAATGAATGTGGTAGGATAAAGAGGAGTCAGGGGAAGCTCCCAGGTTGTCGGTTTGGAGTCTCAGGGGGATGAGTGCACTACCAGCAAAAGATAGAAGCAGGTTTGGAGGAGATTTGCAAAACTCGGTTTGAGCAGGTTGGGTTTGAGTTGCCTGTGAGGACACTTGGAACACATCTCTAGCAGACAGGTGGATACTCTGGTTACTTATTGCTAACTATCTACCTACCACGAAACTGAGTGGTTTAACATGACTTTTATTTATTTGTCCATAATTCTACAATTTGGGCATGGTGGAGAATAGCTCATCTCTGTTCCATGTGGCATCAGCTGGGGCAACTTGATGGGGCTGGAGAATCCACTTCTAAGATGGCTCACTCACTCACATGCGTGGTAGGTTGTGTTGTGTCCAATGGGAGCACAGCTGGGGCGATTAGCCCAGGTCCTCAAGTTTTCCTCTATTTGGCCTCTTGAAACGGCTAGGTGAGACTTCTGGCAGCATGGCAGTCTTGGAGTAGTTAGATTTCTTTCACGGTTCTTCTTCCAAAGGGCAAAAACAGAAGCTGTTGTCAAAAACAAAACTGAATGAACAAGGAAATAGATTTTATGCAGACTATTGCAATGGAGAGAGTACCTAGATTTGAAGATCAGAGTGTCTCAGCAGGGCTTTGCCTTGTACTTTTATAGGGAGCAGTAGACAGGTTATCAGTGGGATGACTTACAGTTGTGAGATAGGGAAACTGAAGGAACCCCATGAAGGATGGCTTTATTGCTGCCTCTTTTCTTACTAGGACCTACATCCCCACCCTACACATGCCTTATAGTACAGATAATGTATACATCTTCCTTGCAAAGGTCAAGGAGTTAATGATTTTTTTGGAGACTTCCAGCATAATAGGTAACATCTAAGGAGTGACCAGGTGGGGTCTTCATGAACATTTTCCCCAAATCCCTGGCTCCAGGGTGTAAATGACTTATGGAAAACATTTAAACACTCATCTTTGTTCCCGGATGTCTGAGAAGACATGTGCACAAGACCACAGTCCTCAATAAAAACAACAGACCCCAAGTAAAGCATCTCCCAGATGCTCTGTCTGCACTCTATGTCTTCAATAAACTCTCCTCTTGGCTTGCATTTGATTTCTATCCTGTGCAAAGACAAAGACCTTCTTGGCTAGTCTTGTGGGAACCCCTCTGGGTCCTTGGACTCCTCAGCCTGCATCAGCTGGAATTGTTTTGTAATCAGGAGATGTCTTAGTCAGCCAGGGCATGTTTGTCTGTGTCTAGATAATTTTAAGGCAACAAACAGTTCTAATCTCAGCTAATCATCCATGAGACAAAGAATGTTGAAGGGTTTGTGCCTAACCTTGTCAACAGGTTCAAGCAAAAAGGGAAAGATCTGTTTTTGGTCTTGTCACAGGTAAACAAGGAGTCATCTGCCAGTCTTTTGAGAAAGAGTGGACAGAGTCCCATCTAAGTCATACCGAGAAGGGTGGTTCTTTGTGGTAAGCCGTTTCCCAGAACACAAACAGGTGCGGGGGAGGGGGCTTCTTAATCATTTCTGTTTTCCCTGAGTACAGGTTCCAGCAAATTTCAGTGTTGTCACTGCAAAGACTTCTTACGGCTTCAGCCTGGAACTGGCAGTCGTTTTGCCACATTCTATTGTTTAAAGCAGTAACAGGTCCAGCCTAGATTCAAGGGGAGAGTATTACACAAGCACATGGATATTAGGGTTTATCATAGGCCACGAAAATACAGTTTCTCATAGAGTCTGAACCTTGGACTGGATGTATTTAGAATGGGGTGCTAGCATATCCTGGGTGGTAGCTGCAACTATCAGGTGGGATCACTGTGTGTGTGTCTATATTGGTAAATGTAGGAAAAAAAGTCCATCAACATTTCAGACCTATCAGATTGGAGGCTTGAGGGCTGTGATTTTCCTACTTTCTCAGAAGCCCTTGTTAATACTGTTCCTTGCTTAGCATTTATCCCAACATTTTCTGGAATTTTGTTGCTAGTTAAAGTTCCTGAACAGCATCTAGGTATTCACCTCATTTAACGATGAGAGGTAACGATGACAGGACTTAGCCAGAAATGATATTTAATAAGTTTTTACATTTTAATTATTTGCCCTGATTAGACTTGGCAAGAGGCATTAAGTTGACCTGTCCAGCTCCTGCAACAAAGAGGGCCAACAGTAGTTGAGGGAATCCCTGTGCAAAGGGGAGGGTTTTGAACAAAGGTCTCCCACACAGGGACCCTCCATGGAGGCTAGCTAACCTTTGAAAATTTGACCTTTTTCTTTCTTGGTTCCCTTCTTCTGGACTCAACACTATCAATTTCTTTTGGAGCTCTTTGTGAAGATAGGCCAATAAAAGACCATAAATCTTTTTTACTAGGTGAAGCATTTACCACTCTAATTAGCATTCCCATTTAAAGGCTTTCATATTCGAGAAACAAACACCAGCATTCCATGTGCTAAGGTTAAAGGAAATCTTAAATCATGAGTAAGTAGAGGTGGAGGACAAAGACCTAGAGTTTAGGCATTGCCTGTGTTCTGACAGTCATCAGAATTTTACTGAGATACCACAATGCTGAAGACACATACTGTCCTAGGTTTTTAGAGTAGAGATAAAATCTGAGCCTAGTATTGCGGATTTGTAAAACAAAACAAAACAAAACAAAACAAAACAAAACAAAACTTATGTGGGTTATAACAAAGTAGATCTGCATAAAATGTTAATGACTTCCCCAAAGGAGAGTAGAGTATGTTTCGGAGTAAGTTACAGGCTGGGTCCTGAAGCATGAACAGGAGTCTACTCAGCTGTAAAAAAACGCCGAGCAGGCCATTTACACGCAAGTAGGAAATGTAAATTCTGAGGCAGGAGGGCCAGCCTATTAGGAGTTTCTCGGGGGCTGACATCTCTCTTACTCTCAGTCCCACCCTGGGGAGGTGGTGGTGGGTGTGAGTGGTGAAGTCTCGGTACCAGGTTCCTAAGGCTACATCTGGGCGCAGGTTGGGGCGCAAGAGAGAGGACAAGGAGAAAGTTTGGGAGGGGGGGGGGGGGGGGAACGAGCCCTCCCGCGCATGCGTACTGGTAGCCGGCCGGCTCCGTAGAGGGTTTGGCCTGCGGCTCACTCCCCACGTCGTGCCCCGCATGGTCCCATAGACTGGGCCCAGAGAGCGAGCGCGTTGCGCGCCCGCGCAGCCTCCAGGCCGGGCGGGCGCCTGCGCACCAGCGTCCTGGGCGCTAGAGCCGCGGGGTTATTAGAGGTGGAGCGCGGGGAGGGCGCGCGGCAGGAGGCGGCCGCCGTTACGGCGCGAGCGTGGTCACGTGGTCGCTGGTCACCACCGCCCCCTCCCGCCCTGTTCTCTTTCTGGTCGGGCCGGGCCCGGCTGGTTCCGCAAGCGCCCGGCAGAGACTGAGGGAGAGAGAGAGAAAGAGGAGGGGAGGAGGAGGATTCAGGGAGTAGGAGCTGGGGAGCCTTTCTGCGCCACAGGTAAAACGAGATGATGATGATAATCGTAAAAAAAGCCGAGCCCCCTGAGCGCCTCCGCCTCCCTCCAGTGCAGCCCCACATGCAGTCGCTCCCGCCCCGGCCTCCCCCTCTGCCTCTCAGGACCATTCCCGCCTTTCCCAGCGCCGCTGCTGCAGCTGCCGCCGTCTCACGGGAGGGCCTGAGGGTGCTGCTGCTGCTGTCGCCGCGAACGGGTAGTCGCACCGCCCCCGTCTGTGCGCTTCCCGGGTCGGCGTGGGGGTTGGGTGGTGGGAGGGCGGCTCCTCTGGCTCCAGGGCGGGTTGGGCGAGGGGGCTGCTTCCACCAGTCCGCCTGCCTTCCCTGCCTCGGGAGGTTGGGGTCTAGGCTGCAAAGCCAACTGCTGCAAGTGGTCAGAGCCTGGTGGTTGGATTGTGGCTCAACTTCCTACTTGGTAAATTTCCCGTTCCTATCAGCCGTGGGCGGCACGCTTCCTTCCTAGGCCGGAAGCGAAACGGGCCCGGAATCCCCAAACCTTTTAAAAATGCAGCTTTTGGACTAGAGAAGCCTTTCGTCTTTGAGGAGAGCAACGTTACCCTGTGTTAGTACGACTTAAGTTTATTCACCTGAAAGAACATGCAAATTGAGGCCTTTAAGGATATAGGAAAAACTTTGTGAAAGTTGATCCCTCCTTCCCCTCCTTTTCCTGGAAAAACGAACACAGACCTCCTAAACATTTTTTGGTTCTATAAATGATCTAGAGTTCGTTCAATACCTATTAACTAGTTTTAGTTTCAGGGATATGATTTAAAGTTCACATCCTTCAGATTTTTTTTTCTAAATTTTCGGGAATGACTTCTATTTGTCAACTCCGAATTGGACTAAATCCCGAAATTGTAGCGTACAGGTTGCACGGCTTTGGGCCCGATTTCGCAGAGATTTCTAGAACCAGTCATTATTTGTACTTTGTACAAAAGATATAGTACAAAGAAACTGTATATTATTACTGCGCTGTTGCACAAAATACTGACTTAAAGCAGGTAGTAGTAAATGTAGGCATTGTTGAAAACAAACCTTTGATCTCTTACATTCATTTGTATGTTAGTCATTTCTCTAAATGAGCTTTTCGGATTCCACATCTTGGAATTTTCATACTATATCTCTAAATTCAGATGTAAACTTGAGCATTTTAAATTTTTACAACTATCTGCAAACAAGTGCTTCTCCGTCTTTAATATGCGTAGGAATCCCTTGTGGCTCTCCTTTAAAACGCAAATTCTGATTTAGTAGGTCTGTGATGTATCTTGATATTCTGCACTTCTTTTTTTTTTTTTTTTTTAAAGATTTTATGTATTTATTTGACGGAGAGAAATCACAAGTAGGCAGAGAGGCAAGCAGAGAGAGGAGGAAGCAGGCTCCCTGCCAAGCAGAGAGCCCGATAGGGGGCTCGATCCCAGGACCCTGCGATCATGACCTGAGCCGAAGGCAGAGGCTTTAACCCACTGAGCCACCCAGGTGCCCCGATATTCTGCATTTCTTATAAGCTCCTAGGTGGTGCTGGACAAGGAACAGTTCTTGAGTAGCAAGCGTCAATGATTAAGTGCTTTAATTCATCCTGAGTGTAGAGGTGGTTTGAGAGAAAGCAAAAGGCAGGATGACCTGAGAAAGTTCCTCTTAGGGCGCTCCTTTATGAAAGGTGAGTAGGCTGTGTTGGAATTCCAGGGGAGGGGATAGTAGTTCGGAGTGAGTTGCCCAACCTGGAGAAGTGAGGATGCCTCTTGTGCATGCTGTGGTGCATATATCACCTGGCCTGTGAATTTTCTGTGGAAGCCTGGTGTATTTCTAGCTGAAGGACTCAGCTCTGGGTAGTTGGGTTTTTATCAATGGACTATGAGTCCTGTGTCTCTGAATCCGTTGCTGGGATAAAATTTTCTTTTATTAATGAAAGTATTGAGTGTTTGCTTTTTCTCTCAGATGCAGCCTCAGTTGAGCAATGCATTCCTGAGCCTTGGAAACAAACTTGTAAAGAATTTAGGGTCTCCACCTGTTGAGATTATCCTAAATGGATTCAGATTTTTTCCCTAATCTAATCAAGAAAATGTAAATTGAAAAGTTGAAAAGTGTCATACTTAACCTCATACTTTATGTCTGTAAAAATCGTTGTACCTAACTTTTTAAAAACTTTATTGAAATGTAACATTAATTGCTTTTAGCACCGTAATTTTTATACTTTTCATTCTAGTCCTTACTTTGCCATCGTTTCTTCATGTTCTTAAATATTTATGACCATGCTTTTGAAGCACGAAGTGCCAGACACTGTTCTAAGCACTTTATGTATTTTAACTCATATGATGCTCACAACAATCTTTAAGGAAACTGAAGCAGAGAGAGGATAAAAATCCTATGCTAACACAGAGCTGTGGCTCTGGCTGACTCTACAGTCCATACTTTAATATTAAATCTTCTGAATGTAGCTTTTATGGAAGAAAATAAATTAATGATACCTTTCAAAATTCCCTTTTCCTAGTATTGTTGAAAATTATGAGATTTTCTTTCATTTTAAAATCCAAACTTCTCATCTTTTGAAAAATTTCCCCCATCGTATAATGAAAACTTGCCTCAATGCTTGTAATCTTTCCTGAAAAAGATACTGAAATTTGCAAAGCTTTATTTGTTTGCACCTGTCTGCCAGGCCGATCTTTCAAGTCTGTAAGTCACTATTAAATGTGAAAGTAGTGTCTGCTTCCTTTTGACTCTGCAAGTTTTTGTTCTTCATTTTTGCCTATGCTTCTCTTCCACCTTCCACCCCTTTTCCCCTTCTATGCATACATAGTAGACTTATCTTGTATTTGTTATCCTAATATTTAGGATTTTTTGCGGGGGGGGATTGATGGGTCACTGATTTTTTTTTATTTGACCAGTAAGGACGATAACAATCTAAGCATGAGTCACTGTTATCATATTTTAACAATGGGAAAGTCATAAGGACAACTTCAGTGTCCTTTTGTCTCTGACCGCTGAAAACTTTGTCCTGTATCAGCACCAGCCTGAGGAGTGGTGCTGGTACACTTGGTCTAAGACATTTCTCTTAATGTGGACAGATGATTAGAATGGCAGTAGTGTTACAGTGTGTGTACTGGAACTAGAGAAGTGAGATTTTGTGGCTGTGGGCAGTTGTGGGAGGAGGAAGTGAGAGGAGAAGGCCTATGGGCTGATTCTAGTAGCATTGATTCTTCATTAACTGGGATAATTGCGAAGCAAGTCAGTATAACAACAAATCCCTGTTGTAAAGGTTTTCTCGAAGTTCATACTGTGTTGTGATGGCTATCTGTTGTATTGTTATACTGGTCAGTTACTTAGCCTCATAGTGCCTCAGTTTTCTCAACTTTAAAGTGAGGATGATAATAATAAGTACCCCAGAAAATTGATTTGAGGATTAAATGAGTATATTTGTGTGTGTGTGTGTGTGTGTATGTGTATATATATGTATGTATAGTATATATACATATATAATGCTTGGTATCTGACACATAGGTAATGCTATCATGGAAGTGTTAGATACTGTGTTTTACTATGGATAATCTACAGTGTGGCTGTTCATATCCACATAACCAAGACTGACTGTATTTGAATGAACTTCATGGGAATTGTTTGGTATTTGGAATTTATTTGGTATGAAGTTGTATGGGCCAGCAAAACAAAGTTTGTATTTTTTGAATTATGAGACTGACGCGCTACCTACTGCGCTAACAAGGCACCTTATTTTTTGGATTAGATACAGAGTTGGTATAGTAATGCTCTTATCCCTTTGGGGGATTAAATATAAATAAATATGGTTTTGCTGCTCAGATCTTTCAAAATAAGGAAGTAAAGCTATAGAAATAAAAGAAGATGTTTTTAGTGGTGGTGTGAAAGGATTGGTTTAAAATTTTCTAGTGTAGTGCTGTGAAGCCTAGAACAAGGTCATCTTATTTATGAAGGCTCTGCTGAGTATAACTTTTACCTCCCTCAGCAGACTCCTTTGCTCCTTGAAATAATCCATCTGTCTGTGCATACTCCAGACTTGATCTACAGCCCCTTATCTAAAACCCAGGGTGACATATGTGTCTCAGAAGTAAAATTTTTGAAATTTAGAGAATTAATATAGGGCATATGCTTTATATCCTGAAACCTCCTGTGGATAGGAACAATCACCCCATAGTTGTACACATTAATTTTCCCAGCAAATTTATACATGTTCACACTAAGTAGAATAAAAAAGACCATAAAAAGCCTCCTGTTAGTTAGGCTGTGTTTTGTTGACAGCTTAGAAAACAGTTTTAGTTTTCAGAGTTTTTTGGATTTTTGGAATTGGAGATAAGGGGTTGGGATCTCTGTCTCTCTATATTTTATCATAGTACCTGTCTCTTTGATTAGAAAAAGAACTGGATTATGGGATTTGTGTGTTAGCATTTTCTATTTTTAGCACCTGTCATGGGACCTGGCATGCAAAAGATGCTCATTAAGTGTCCCCTAGTTTGGACGAAAAACCTCTGAAGATCGTATCATTCAGTTATTGTGCTACATGTGGTGTCTCTGACTCCATGAAGATATTTAGTAATTGTGGATTTATAATTTTTCTTGACTCAGTTGCCTAGGGAAGGTGATTATTGGATTACTTTTTTGAGACAAAATAGACTGAGGAGATTTGAAAGAGGCATTATAGATGATTGCAAGTTTTTATAGATTTGTGTTGACAAGAACGCTTATATTTACCTTTTTATGGGTCATGAAGTCTGCATTGAGAATGGTTTGCTTTTTATTTATATTTATTTATTAAAGATTTTATTTAATTGTCAGAGAGATAGAGAAAGTATAGGTAGGCAGAGTGGCAGGCAGAGGGAGAAGCAGACTCCCTGAGGAGCAAGGAGCCCGATGTGGCACTCGATCTCAGGACCCTGGGATCATGACCTGAGCTGAAGGCAGCTGCTTAACTGACTGAGCCACCCAGACATCCCCGAGAATGGTTTGCTTTTTAAAAATGATTATATTTAGTTTTGTATGATAATTTATGACAGACTAGTTGTGGTATATCTAAAGAAAATGTTGTGTATGAATATCTTGGGTTGAATAATTATAGTATAATAGCTTAGCCTGACATTAGAAATTTTTTTTCTATTACAAAAGGTAATGCCTATTGTAAAAATGTTATAAAAACAAATTATCAAAGGTAATGGTCTGCACTATTGGGAATTTCTTCAGTTCTCTTAGGGGTTATGTTGTCTTGAGAGAGGCTGAAAAAAAAAAAGTCAAATTTGTACTGCAAGTATTAGTTTAGAAAACCGAGTTGCAAATGTTGGTTAGCAACCAAGTTTTCTTACTGTTATTAAACATCTAAGTAAGATAAAAAGGTTGAACTAAAAGCAGTTTGGGTCTCTACTTGTAAATACCGATCTTCAAAATAATTAGATCAGGGAGAGGTAAAACCCCCACTTCTTATATAACCACCTTGGGGGCAGTGAGATGGAACTGCCTTCTGGTGGAGTTGGGTGGTATAGCACTGCAAGAAGACTGAGCCTGAGTTACAGGTCCTGGCTCTAGATGGGTGCATTCTGTTTGCTGGTAATTAGTGGGGATCAGAATGGACCCCTTCCGGTTTCCCAGAATAGGTACCTTTGGAGGTATTCCAGTAGCTAACTTCTAGGAATCCAAGAGAAATTACTAACATTATATCTCTTGCCACTCTGAGGTGAGATGGTGGATTGATTGCTCTGGATTCTTGTGGAGGTTGGGAGAGAAGGTGGAGTTGGTAGGAGATGGGTAGATGGTACCACTTTCTCTGTGCATTGGTTAAAGTAGACTTTTTTCTTCATGAAGTCCAGGAGTATTGTAGTAAGAATACTCATTTTGATAGGTCGGTATGCATGGCATAGGGAAGCTTGTGATAAATTGCCGCCTCTCTCCAGTCTTCATTACTCTTAGTAGTTCAGGGGTTAATTTTAACTTTTTTACCTGTGCTCTGTGTGTGTATGTGTATCATAGGTATATATGGATAAACACGTGTAGATACACCTGTTTTTTAAACTAAAAGTGGGTTTATGTTATTTTATTACTTGTGTGTGTTTTTCCTTTAATATTTTATGTTACTAATGATTTTACTCTTCTACACACTTTTTAGTAGTTCTATGACTTTCATTGTGTGAAGGTGCTGTTAGTAGTCCTCCATTCTTGGACACCTAGATTCCTTTCAATCCTTACATGACAGGCAGTGCTACACTGAACATTATTGTAGCTAATGTTCCTTTGTGCCTATGCATTATGATTTATTTAGGGAAAATTGTTGTGAGTGGAATTATTAGTAGTTCCAAAGATATGCCCATGTTTAATAGTTTTGAAACACATGACCAAATTGTACCACTTTACCGTTAACTACAAAGCTGAGAGGTCCTGTACTTGCGGTTATTGGGTATTTTCATCTTTATTTTATTTAGGCTTTATTTGGGCATCCTTGACTTTATACCTCCTCCTCTTCTGCCTTCTTATAGACTTTAGCATTTATGTAGTTAAATCTTGTTCTTCCTTTATGAATCTTGTAGGCTTTTCCTATATTTTGTTTATATAGTTATTTATATTTTAAACTATTTTCATAGTTTCAGTTTAAAATTTTGAATTTACAGTTATTCCAGAACATGGTTAGTTGTATAGTGTGAAATAGAGCGTACTAAATTTTTAAGCTTTTGATTAGTTTTCTCAGTACTACCGAATGACTGATTTATTCTTTCTGTATGTATATCAGAAATTTTATCATTTTGTCTTCTACTCCGTCCCACAGTGTTTTATTTGTTATTGGTGGAAATGAGATTTTTCTCCGTGTGTGTGTGTGTGTGTGTGTTTTCTACCTGACTATTGCTGGTCAATAGAAGAACCATTGATATTTTGTGGGTGTATTTTGTAATTAGTCACTTTCTGAATCTATTTATTAAAATTGGTTTTCAGTTGATTGTCTTACATTTTCCAAGTAGATAAGCATACCATCTGATATCAGCCATTTTTGTAGAGGTTTTTTTTTTTTTTTTTCATGATTAATTTTCATTTGTGGAAGCTGTGTTGGAATAATTTTCTTAATTTCATTGACTTGAAATACGGTATTTTGATACGGTGTCACTGTGAATTGATCTACTCAGTTCTAAGAAGGATTTAAAAATATTTGGAAACCACTTCACCAAGTGATCTCTCTTATGGACTGAATGTGTCCCCCCAAAATTTGTAGGTTGAAAC